AGGGTTGATGATTAGCTAGAACCCCTGTCCAAGCATCCTTGGATGTTATGGACATGGCTGCTAGATCCATCTCCACAGCAGTTAGCATTATGGTTCCAGCTGTCTGCTGTTGTGGTTCCTAGAGAGGTTCAGAATACTTTTGAAGACCTCCTGTTTGATGATCAGAAGCTCTTCTTGGGGACTACAGACAAGTCCCTGCACATGCTGAAGGACTCCAGGGCCACATTGTGGTCTTTGGGTATATACAATTCTATGAATAAGAGGAGATTTAGCAGGTCTCAAACTGCCCAGAGATCACTCCCAGCCCAGTTCTCTGGATTTCACAGACTCATTGAGCCCATTAGAAAGAGACAAAAATTCCAGAGGAAAAGAGCTTCTCATCCTCTGTCAGCGACACCCAGTCATCCTCAAAACAACAATTTTGATGGGTTAGTCAAGGCTTGACTCCTCTGTCACCTCTAGTCTGCAAGCTGCAACCTTTCGCACACCTTCCCTCTTTTGGAGACCACCTTTCCCATTTCCAATAGGCCTGATAGTACATTACAGCAGATAGGTGGGTTATGGAAGTTATAACATTGGGTGACACCAGCCACTTTACGTCCCTGCCTCCCTCTCTCCCACCCGCATTCCCCTCTCTTCAGGAACCCTCTCACGAGACTATGCTGAGTCAAGAGATACACTCTCTCCTTCATTTAAGGAGTGACAGAACTGTCCCATTCCTTCACAGGTATAAAGGGTTTTACTCAAAGTATTTTCTCATGCCAAAGACGGATGGAGGGTGGAGACCGATTTTAAGTCTGAGACAACTGAACAAATTTGTAAAGTCTCAAAAGTTCGGGGTGGTGACTCTGGTAGCTATAATCCCTTCTCTAGAGGCAGGAGATTGGTTTTTGGTCCTCGATCTACAGGGGGCCTATTTCCATTGTAGCAATACGTGTCCTGCCTCGCACCCTCCCCATCCCAGGAAATGCTCATTTTCACTTTGGGCTAGAATCATTTTCAATATCCCATTGTGCACCTAGTAACTGAAATTGGCTTGGAGATTAATCAGGCTTGTTGTACAAAACATAATGGATGGTGGCTATGTGAATGTTATGCTACAATTGATACTAAGAACACAAAAAGAGGCTGGGCCCAATTGATACAAAAAGAATTAGTCAATGAGGTGGTCCGAATACAAGATGTGGTATGTACCATAGGATATTCCAATTTTTCTATACATGGAACTACTTGCCCTGGAAGCAATACAGGATTTTGTGTGAAAGTCACAAGCACAGTCCAAATTGGAACCCATGCCTTTGGCCAACAAGTAGTGTCAGCACTGCCACTGAAATTATTACTCCTCCTGGAAAACTACAAGATTTACTAATTGAATTGTTCCCCCACTGGAGCAATTACAATTGGACATACATGATTTGATGGCAAGAATCAAGGAAGTCTTAATACCCATAGCTCATCTTATCCAACAACAAATAGAAGAAGCAGAACATGCACAAAGAGAGGTGGAAACACTTCAGTGGGAAATCCCAGAGGCAGTTACTCTGCACCCAATAGTCAGGTTACTTAGTGTAATATTGATGGGAATACAAGCCATAACAGTAATTGCTCTGATGGTAATGTGTTGCTACATGCAATGTAAACCAAAAAAGCCACAGTACAACACGGGGTTGAGAAAGGAATGGAACTAGCTATGAACACTGCTATAGTAATGAATAATCATTGTAAGGAATAATCAAATGCTTATCAATGTTTTAAATGTAAATATTTGTAATTATATAGTTTGTAAGGGTGGCTGGATATCTGTATAACTGGATACTTTGTGAGGTGTGTTGGACCAAATGTGTCCTATAAGGAATGTTTAAGGTACAAGCATATATATATTCATATATACATATATGTACATTAGCTACATATGTATACCAACTATCCACATTACTCATATATTATAATTTATTGCAAGTTATATCAGGAATATATATGGTATTCATCTATTCAAGGAAATGATCATGTAATCCCTCATATATGTCACTATCTTACTCTATAAGATATACGCATAATACACTTCTAATCCTGACCAAAGCCCTTCTCAACGATGACCAACTAAGTATAAAGGCTTCCTCATGCCGCCCAAAAAGTTATTAAAGACCAACTCTAGACTTTACATGTCAGTCATAGTCATGGGCCTAACATTCCCAGGCTCACCATAAGGGACTAGACATAACTGGAAAATAAAATCTGTCCATTAGTCGTACGAGGGAATGTGCAGACTAAGAGACAGATGGGGCATGAATGTGTGGATAGTAAAGTAAGGAGACCATGTAAGTGTTTATACCATTAGGTCATCTTGAGTCCATGCATTGTGTTTTTTCGGGATGATGGGTGAACATCCTCCCCATAAAAAGACAAAAAGTGGGAGAATGTAGTAGAAGGAGATACTGAGACATAAGGCCTTGTATCAGAGGCCTGGTATGAGGCCTGAGGCCTGAACTAAAGTAGCGGTCAAAGCTTTGCTGATATAAAGCAAAGTTAAGTTATGAGCAAGAGGCAGGCCCTGCTCACAGAATCTGGCAAGAACAGGGCTGATATTGCAGAAATATACATTCCTAAGTAGTGCTAGGCACTCACACAAACACATTCCAGAAGGGTGGTACCAGAACACCTTGGCACCAAACACATTCCCCAAAGATAACAGTAATGCACTGACCCATCCTAAAGATAAGGTCAGGATGACAACATGATGGATAGAGATATTTTGACCGAATCAACAGGTACAAGGTAATGGGTGGTGGTATGCTGTGTCAGAAGGTGGCACCTAGCTACGTCAGTGGCAATATGGGCAATATGTAACTTGTTTGTATTGGGGTATAAAGAGGTATCTCAGAGGGAGTGTCTCTGGTTGGCCTAGGGAGGAACAGAAAGTCCCGTCTTTCACTGAGCTGGTCCATTGTTACGGGCATATATGTATTAGTGATCCAGTAGAGTCTGCAGGGTACTAGTACCATGCTTTGTTGACACTAAACCTCGCTGGGTGCCTTTGTATCGTAACAGATCTTGTGGTCATTGGGTGCTTCACTGGAGGTCTGCTGGGCCAGTTACCTGTGCAGAGCTGGGACAGCATACAGAGGGAACACACACAGCCAAACCTCTATCAACACTGAGTACTTCCTTTCAGCCTCTCTTTGGCCCCTCTTCGGCCCAAAGGATGTTCACAAAGGTTCTAGGAGTAGTGGCTGCTTTACTTTCAATGAGAAACAATTTTTGTCTTTCTGTATCTTGATGACTGGCTACTCAAGGGCCAGTCTTAGGACGCAGTACTAACTTCCACCTAGACATACTCTCTCTTCCAGGAATTGGATCTCCAGCTAAACTATATTAGGAAAAACTTTCTAACTATAAGGCTAGTTATGCACTGCAATAAGGTATAGGGGGGCTGTGGAATCCCTTTCATTCATGGCTTTAAGAACAGGTTAGACAGACACCTGTCATGGATGTTCTAGGTATACTTGACCTAGCCTTAGTGCAAAGGGGTGGACTAGATAACCTCTTGTGGACCCTTCCAGCCCTACATTTCTGCGACTCTATGGCTCTCCAGCATCGTTGTTGCCTGGATCAATGAGCTACATTACTTTACAAAACAAAGATTGCTTCAATTGGGAGCCCTCACATACAAGATGTCATTGGCCTCATCCTTTCTTGCTGACATCTCCAGTAGACCTATAAACTGTGGTTTTCAGATTGACCTCTAATGTAGTGGCATGCAGGCGTTTATGGAAAAGTAGTGGAAGAAGGACCCTCCAGCGAACCACATGCTAGTTATGGCAAAATATTCTTGAGGCAAATTGTTTGTCAGTCTAGAAAGGCTTAGCAGATAAGGAAAAGCAATCTTTGCCATCTTCGAGACAGTTACAAAGAGGAGGAGATAGGAGAAGACATTCTTTCATCCCTTTTCTCATAACAAACCCTATAGGAAATGTCAGTTTTATAGGGCTTTCTGTCCTAGGGTAACTTGGGGAAAAAGTAGTTCTTTCACATAAAGGGCATCTAAGGATTTAGCGGAAGTGTATGATCACCTGTTTTGAGTGTGTGGTAGGGTAGCCTTGCTCAGAGGAAAGATTATACTGGTAATCCTAGAGTATTGTCAAATAACTAAATACATAGAAACATTACGTTTAAGTAGAAACTAAACATTCATTATTTCAAGAGGAAGCCTCTCCAAGAGAACTTGTAAAATGGGATGGAAATTTAATTTTTATGGAGTGGCAACCAAAATCAAATTAGGACAGTTGAGTCTTGAAATGATCAGAGAATAGGATGTGCAGTCAAGGTGGTAAAATAATGAAAACCAACATATATTCAGTTGCCAGTCCCAAGAGATATAGAAAAGCAGGTGGCAGTGAAGCTATACTCTCCAGTACTTACTACTGTAACAGGTTCCTCCCAAGGTGCCACCTGAAACTGGGGTATCACTGAGCCGTCTGGCTCACCACCCTAGGCTCCCTGTCACACTGTGCTGCTGTGGCAAGCTGCAGACCTGCTCTCGGTCCTATACCTCCTCCAGCATTCACACAGGTAGGGACACACCCAGCTGCAGTTACATGCAGGCTGTCTGACCAACCACTGCATGAACCAACAATAGAGAAGCTACAGCCAAAATAACCACCAGCTTCCTAGTCTAGGACCCCAGAGCTGTACCATCCTGCCCTGGTCAAAACACTGACCAGTATGAATTTATTACCCGATTCGCCTCTCCCTCAATGTGGAGAGAAATATGCAACAAGCCTGTGTTAAACCAAGCTGAGATTTTTCCCCAGACATTTCACTTAAAGGCACACTGGGTTTAGATTAAAACATAAAACCAGTTAATTATTTACAAAAGATAGATTTTTAAGAAATTATAAGGGATAGCAAATAGATCAAAGCAGATTACCTAGCAGATAAATAAAAATGCAAACTAAGCTTAACATACTAGATAGATTGGATATGAATCAGCAGTTTCTTACCCTGAGTGATGATGTAAGCAGACTTGCAGATTCTTAAGGCACAAGCTGCATTTGCTTTGCAGCTTGGGTTTCCTAGGTTTTCATACACAGGCTAGAAATCTCTTTAGCCTGGGTCCAGCACTTCCCTCGGTTCAGTCTTTGTTCCTCAGGTGTTTCCAGGAGTCCTCTTGTGTGGGGAGTGAAAAAACAACAGATGGTGTCACTCCCTGCCTTATATAGCTTTAGCATTGGGCGGGAAACCTTTGTTTCAAAAACTTGGTTCCCAGACCACTTTGTGGAAAAATACTGACATCTCAAGATGGAGTCCACATTCATGTGGCTTGGTCACATTCCCTTGCATACCTTGATGAATCATAGCAGCCATTACTTACAGGCTGTCTGGAATGTTTACATGAAGGTTAAGTTCTTCCAGGGTCCATTTTCTTTGCTGATGGGTTATCAGCACTGTCTGGCTTCTTCATTGTTGTACAAGAAAGGTTAGTTGTGGGTGTCACCTAGAGTAGGCACATTTGAAATACAGATACATAGTCAATATTCATAACTTTAGATACAAAAATGATACATGCATACAAATAGGATAATCCTATTCAGCAAATCATAACTTTTCCAATGACACCTCACATGACCCATCTTGTACAAAATACATCATAATTATGCAATAATCATATCATAATATCACTGTGAAGAATATAGGATGCAGTGTCACAACTACTATATATCATTTTGGATAAAATGGGACCAGAGTTATGCAAATTTAAAGGCCCTGAACAAGTATGCAGGTAAGATCATGTGCAGAATGGAGACTGATATCTGCACAAGCACAGTATATAGTCATCTCTGGGCTTGAAAGATTCACTCACATCAGTAGACTTGATGGCAGCATATCTTTACTTTCTGATCTCTGATCAATACAGGAATAATAGCCGCTACCTGTGCAGATTTCTCAAATGATTTACAAGGGTATCCAGAGTGTTTGCAGAAGTGCTAACTGCAACTCTAAGAATAGAAAAATTTCTATCTTTTTTTTTCTCTTCATTGTCATCCCAGTAAGTTCAAGAAACTGCCACAAGTCTCATTACAGACAAATTTGTATTGAAGTGAGATACAGTAACTTAGTTTACACACAAGGCCATGTAAAACTCAGGCTAATCATAGACTTCAAAGTGGTCTTATTGTTTTGTATAATGGAAAATTTGACTTAATACAGTTCTGTAGTATAATCTGTTATTCTTCGTTTATATGTAGGGAAGAGGAAATTTGGATGAAAGGATCTGTTGAACCAGCCAGTACTTCATTAATTATGCCTAGAAATGCTGAGTCCCCACATTCTCATCCATTGTACAGCATTGCCATTGTCAACCCCTAACATTTTAAATAGTCATGAGTCAAGTTCCTCCCTTAACCCTCCGTGAAAATCATCATGATTGCCTTAAAAATCATGAGACTTTAAAAATAATATATTTTGGGTTCCTTGTATTTGCCTTCTGGTTCTTGATCCCTTAAAATTCACAATTTCAAGCTTTTTTCTGTAACCATGAGGGCTAGAAACTTAAAAAAAAGAGAGAGAGAGAGAGCGCGCTATGATTCTCTCAAGCTGGGGCTTTAAGAAAAACACCAAATCACAAACCTTGTGATAAAATTGTGAGAGTTGGCAACATTGATCATTTCTGAGTGATTGTAGCCTCTACTACTTCCGTTGACCTCCTGTTCCATAGCTCAAAGCTTTGATTAAAAGTCTTGTGTGTAAAACTTGTAAGATTCTAAATATTTCCTGTAGAATACTAACTCCCGTGGGCTATATTCACGTCTTACTAGCTATATCCCCCAAAATATTTCAGATGTAAAACATTGATGCTGGAAGCACAAGTACTTGGGTTGGAAACCTTTTAGTGCCAGTAAGTTAAATAGAAGTTTAAGCAAAAGTTATTTAAAAACAAAAAGGAAGTTTAGATTGAAATTAGAGTGTTTCAGCCCTTTGTTTGGTGCTTATGGTTGTGTGACTTTGATGCTACTTCTCTTTTGTCCTTTCTGGAATGACTTTAATCTTCATAAGAAAACTACCACTATTTCTCAACTTCTCATGGAAAGAGGAACCGATTTCTCTTTTCTCTTTCCTAACTATAGCGTGACATAACTTTTTTGCCAACAGGATCCTTATGTTTTTGATCCAGGGCTATACAAATAAAGGTCTTCTAGCACTGTGGCAAATATCTGTTATGCCAGAGGTGGGCAAACATTTTGGCCCGAGGGCCACATCTGGGTATGGAAATTGTATGGCAGGCCATGAATGCTCACGAAATTGGGGTTGGGGTGCAGGAGGGAGTGAGGGCTCTGGCTGGGGGTGCGAGCTCTCGGGTGGGGCTCAGGATGAGGGGTTTGGGTGTAGGAGGGTGCTCCAGGCTGGGACCGAGGGGTTCGGAGTGTGGGAGGGGGCTCGGGGCTAGGACAGGGGATTGGGGCATGGGCTGGGGAGGGAGAGGTGAGGTCTCTGGCTGGGGGTGAGGACTCTGGGGTGGACTGGGGATGAGGGGTTTGGGGTGCAGGAGGGTGCTCCAGGCTGGGGCAGAGGGTTTTGGAGGGTGGAAGAGGGATCAGGGCAGGGGTGCAGGGGGTTGGGCCCTGGGAAGGGGTCGAGGTGCAGGCTCCGGGTGACGCTTACCTCAAGCAGCTCCCGGAAGCAGCGGCATGTCCCCCCTTCAGCTCATATAAGGAGGTGCGGCCAGGCGGTTTTGCATGCTGCCCCGTCAACAGGTGCCGCCCTTGCAGCTCCCATTGGCCGCAGTTCCCATCCAATGGGAGCTGCAGGGGCAGTGCTGGGGTAGAGGCAGCATGTGAAGCCCCCTGGCTGCCCTTACGCATAGGAGCCAGAGGGGGGACATGCTGCTGCTTCCGGGAACCATGAGGAGCTGCGGCATGTGCACGTGGAGTGGCCCCTGACCCCGCTCCCCAGCCAGATTAAGTTGGCTGGCAGGCCGGATGTGGCCCGTGGGCCATAGTTTGCCCACCCTGTGTTATGCCATATTTGGACTGCTGTGCCTAATTTTGGACAACTTACGCTAAACAACTAAAGCAGAGTCGTGTTTGTGGGTTTTTTAAGGTTTTAATTCAAAATACTTTTAAAAGGGACGCAATCAACTGGAAATCTAGTCATTTAAGAAAAAAATTAGGAACATAGAGGCTGTGTAGAGGTGACATTTTAGGAATGTTAAGAAGGAAGTGGAAGAGGCTTAATTAATTAATTGGGAGGCTATTCCAAACATTGTTGGTGAGAGGGAAAAAACTACAGTATTTATAGAAAAAAGGAGCTGTTAGAAGAGGGGCTTGGGTAGAAGAGGTAGTGTTAGGAAGATATCAGATGAATAGTAAGTAGAGGTGGAATTGTGTAGAGTTTTAAATATCAGGGTGTGGGAAGTTTAGACCTGGATGAAGGGTAACTGGGATTAGGACAAGTAATGCCTATTAACTAGGAAAGGAGAAAGTGTTCTTACAACTACAAATGCTCCTAGGTGTTATGGTAACATAATTAATAAAAAAAAAATGTAGAAAATATGAAGTGGATTGTCAGCTCCTAATGCCGTGCTCAGGCAGCATTTCATTTTAGTGATTAGGTAGCTGTGGAGAAGAGAAAATAACATCTGTTTTCCCAAATGCCATCTTTCCAGAGTGCTTGAGGCATAGTGCACAACAAAGTAAGTACAACCACAATTAAAAACATATAATTAAAAATTCCTTCAAGTACTGGAGTTTCTGATGGGAATGGGAAAATAATTTAAATAAGGAGTCAAGAATAAGTTTGCAGTATCCAAAGGTACTAATACTAGTTAGTGTGGCTTCCTTGCCAGTGTAAAGAGCTTTTTGTGATAGTCTTACAAGTGCGGTGGTGGCTAAAACAAGGATCCTGTTGTACCTGGGTTTGAATTGCAGTTTATTCCAATACAGGATATGGAGCAAAAGAGTTTCCTGCAGCAGAAACTGAAATATGATGGGGAAAGCTTCCTGTAGCCATAGTCAAAAGGACAAGGGTGCCAAGGTGATTGCTTGCTGGTTCTCAAACCTTCATTCTGCCTAAGCTTCTTTTCAGGATCTGTTTCTACTCTTGTGAGGACTAGCTACTTGCTAAGCAGGCTACTTGTTAGGATCATATTCTTCCATATAGTTCTAACTGAGGTATTAGGTCTTCTTGCCTGGTTACTTGCAGTCGCTGAATTAAGTGCTTGCAGCCTCTTGCAATCCTGACAGCACTTGCAGGAGCCTCTGATTTAACGTTAGAGGATTTTAACTCCTGCTTACCAGTTATAGTGTAAAGTGCAGTCATATTCCTATACTGCGTTTTTCTTAAAATACAATATTATGCAATTGTTTGACAACTTCACCACTGCTACATTTTAGTTCTCCATTTATTGTCCCTGTTCCAAGATACAACCACTTTATCTTCTTGGCATTTGTTAAAGTCGTGTGTGTACACAGGAAGCTGGATCTGTGTGAAAGGATAAGGTTAAAAGGTGTGCTGCAAAGAAGTTGGTGGAATTATAGACTGATGAAAAGATTGTGTTTGGTGCCAAAGTGCAAACTGTATCAAACCAGTGTACTAACAGTATTCCTGTATGGTCTGGAAGCAGATGCACTAAATGAAACAGACATCCGGCTAGAGGCACTAGAGATAAGAGTTGCTCTTTGGACAAGGACAGGTATAAAGTGGAATGATTTTAAGACCAAGTTAGAAGAAGAGTAGGATGCAAAATCAGGAGTGGGATTGGCTGCAATCGAAAAGATAATGGTGAGGATGCTGCAGAAGAGAAACATGATAGGATGCCAAAGAAAATACCACAAATGCAATCGGGGGCAGTCACACCGAGAAGCCAACCACTGACTAGATGGCAGGATGTCGCAGGGAGGGACATGAGTAGTCTGGGCTTAATGGAGGAGCAAGCCATGCAGAGGAATGAAAGGTGGTGATATACTGCTCCCTGTGTCTGTAAAGATATTTTGGAATAAGAAGAAGATTATGAACTGTTGAAAGAGTTTACATTATTTATTCAACAAGATCTATATTAATTTCCATAGTTAATAGGTTATCTCATTTCTCTGGTTTCCTTCACAAAACTGGATTGTAAAAAGTTGAACTCAAAAAATGTTTCACTGTTGGAGTTCAAGCTGATAGCTAATTAGTACAGATAAATGCTGACATGAAACAGCTTGTCCAGCTAAGAAAGAAATGCTGACAAAAAGCTAAAGAAGCGCAGAACTTGACTTCCACTTAAAAAAAAAAGCAAAAAAAAAGCTATGCAGCATTATTTTCTAAAATGTAAAAAAGCCAAAAACCTATTAAACTCTAGGTTACAAGGTTATGATTAATAGCTGTAGTCAAATTAATTGATGCCATTAGTAAAAGTAAAAAAGAAAAGAAAAATGTATACAGCACTAAAAGCACAGCAGCAGGTCTTTCCCCCCACCCCTCCCCCCCCGCCCATATTCTGAACAA